CTGATGGGTCCTGGAAAAACACACTGTTCCCCAATAAAATTAAAACAAAAGCAAACAAAAAAGAACATCTTGCAACAACATTATCTCACTCTGTGTGTATAAGGGCATTCGTTTGTGGATGTCAAAAATGAAAACAAACCAAAATTTCGATAATTCTGTTTCAGGACTTTCTGGAAATGTATGGGCCTTTCTTGATCTCTGGAAAGGCCCTGCCACAGGGGGAAAGAAAGCCAGAGTAAAAACTAAGATAAGCCAAGGTTAGACATTTAGTGCAGCTTTGCTCAGACACTGCCTTATATTTTTCCCCCCTTTAGTGCATGGATTTCTCAAAAACCTTTGGGTTTTGGGTACTTGTAGTAATTTTTCTAGCTTCCACTCTCCCATCCTTGGAATAGCTCCTGTTTTTGGTTTCATTTTAGTAACTGGAGACCTACAGGTAAGATCCTCTTTGTAAACTCAGAGACACTCCTAAATTTGAAACTACTGTCAGGTTGAAACTCTTTCCTCTCAGCAGCCCCCTCTAGCGCCTCCATCAGGGTTTGCTCCCTTTTCTGTATCATTTCTGGTCACTGTAGTTTAGGACTAGCAGGCCACACAGACACGGTCTAGGTCAGAGGGGTCTGCTCTTTCCTTCTGTGCACCTCGGCTAGGTCTGCACAACTGCCACCAGGGGGCGACTTTGAATTACTGTTCTGGGGCTGACAGCGGATGCTGACCTTGAGAGGACAAGTTGTGCTGTGCCCCCACTGATGGAAGTCTTTGCTGCTCTCTCCCTCCCGTCAGCTCGACCTACCCACTTCCCTTTATCGATTCTCTGGGCCCAGCCCATGCAGATGGCCAGGTTGACGGCCAGTTTCGGGTTATCCCCATGCAGAGACACCTGTAAGTGAAGTAAGAGGGCATCTGTCTTCAGCTTTTAAATGCCCCACATCTTTGCATTTGGGGAGGCTTTCTGAGTGGTTGTGCGTCCTTCTGGTACCCTCAGAGCTCACCTGGATCCCTCCCTTTCCACTACACACCTGTGGAGTGTAGGGGCCAGGGTGCCTCCCAGAGTGGAGAAGCTATCCACAATTCATTTACTCTACCTAGTGGAATTTGCATGTTTCCTTTTGGCTGGTGATCTCTCACCCCAAATTCAACCTTGAGAGCCACTCATGGCCCAACAGTCCCGATGCTATACTCTGATTTAGTTTCACACTGGCCCAGGGAGACACCATTCCTCTTCCTTCTTAGATGCTGCTGGCAATCGCTGCCCACTGTCAGAAGTCCAGTCTTAGAGCACCAGGCTCCAAGCCTCAGCACCACGATTTTCCAAGTCTCGTGAGATAAGGAGGCTGTAGGCCGCAGCGGGCCGAGCTGGCTCCTGCTATCTGAGGCTTAAACAGGACAGTGCTGGGAGAGAGGAGAAGCCAGCCGGTGGGAACCCGGAACAGAAGTAGTAAGGAGGAAGCGAGGGAGGAGAGGAAAAGGGATGGGTACCAGGGTCACCTTCAGGAGCCCAATTTATAGGCTACAGCACACACCTCTCGGGACCAAAAGGATTCTGCAATGAGAATTTTTGGGGAA